GATTTTCTTCTTATAAGTGTAAAAAAATAAAATCAAAGACAAAGAAAATAAACAATAGAAAAGTTTTTTTCACCAGGGTTACCTCTACAGCAGAGAGTGACACATCAGCTTTTATCAGAGTTTAAAGCGTCCACACCCCACTAGAGCCATGCACATTTGGCAGCAAATCAACAGACCTGTAATCTGTTCATAATAATCCAGCGTAGGGTTGTTGGTTAATCCAGGTGACAGGTAATTCTTAAAAATGAGTCTGCCTGTATAAATAATGGTTAAAAAAATTATATTTTATAGTATAGAAGATATTTAATGTTACTAAATAAGAAAATGTATTTTATTTTGTTTTAATAAGTAAATAACTTGAAAAAAATTGATGACTTCTCTCAGCTGGCACTGTTCTCAGTGATTAGGAGTTTTACCAATAAACTTTGGTCTAAAAATGAAAGTGAGAACTGATAATGAGTCACATTTTCCACTCATGAACAGAGATGTATTATAATCTTTGTGTTAAAGGTGTGGGAGATCAGTGACCTTGACCGAGATGGCATGTTGGACAGAGATGAGTTTTCTGTGGTAAGATATAAACTGATAAAACACTTTTTACAATACATTTTTCATCTGGTGTATTTAAACCTGAATGATTTTTTTTTAATACACCACTGGTCTTGCAAGCATTTGTCATAAATGTTTCAGGAAGGGTGAATCGTTTTCTCTTTGTCTCCAGGAATATTTTCAAAGTTTGTACCCTTATTTTTGTATCATACTGGACTGTTGAGGAATTCGGATCTGAATGTAACCAAATTAGGGCCCTATGAAATCGGTTTTATATTTTCCTAAATTTTGCGTTTTTCTGTTTTTATTTTTCTTGTTTTTGTTCTATCCTTTTTTTTCCTTTTTTTTTCTAAATTCAACATTTTCATTCTAACCATATTTGTTAAACTAAAAGATGGCAGAAAAATAATTTAACAAATGAATAGTCTCAGAATTCAAAATTTAATGGCTGGTATTTCACTTTCATTATTACAACAAATGTCTGTTGCCTTTGCAAACTATTTAAAAATATTTACCTGTCTTTTTTTTTAAAGAACAAAAAACATTCTTTATGTGCAAAACATAGAATCTCACATTAAAAAGGTTATCTTTTTGTAAAATGAAATGTCTTGGAACTTAATGTAGAATATGTCATAAAAAAACAAAAAACCTACTAATGGTAAGAATTTGTGCATGCTCGCCTATTGAATAGGATCTAAGCTCATTTAGTCATTTTTGCTTTTTTTTTCTAAGATATCTGATTCTGCACACACAGCAGTAAATCTTTGATAAACTCACGCCTCGCTGATATAGTTGAATGTTGAAGAGTTTGCAGGAGGCATGTCTGACTCTCAGCTTGTTCTCCTGTTTCTGATGTGAGTCGGACAGGAAGTGGTCATCATGTATTCTCACACGTCCAGTCGATCATGTGGTGACAGAAATTACAGAAAAGTTGTTCTCCTGATTCAAAAAAAAAAATCAGAGGTATTCTGCCCTAAACTTCACGTTAAGTTTCATATTTTTTTTATTTTTTGGAGGACGGTGGCATTTCAGTGATCCTTTACTTTTTTTCTGTGTGGAGAGGAGAGCCCACTCCTCATGCACATAGCCAGGTAACTGCAAGTACAGGGGGCAAATAGTGACCAAAATACCTCAGAAACCTGACCTGCTCGACACCGGTTGAATTCTGTGAAATTTCGTGTTTTGTCCTGGATTCAATGCGCTTGCTAAATTCTGCGATTTTGTCTATGTTTTCCACATTCTGGAAATCATAGGGCTCCACCAATTCAGTATGCATGGAAGAAAGCAAAGAGGAGAGTAAAAGTGTTGTTGTATGTATTTATTAATGTATTGATTTTTGTACCTTTTCTCATTTTTTCAGGCAATGCATCTGGTTTATAGAGCTCTTGAGGGTGAGCCCGTTCCCATGTCCCTTCCTCCTCCCCTAGTCCCCCCCTCTAAGAGGAAAAAACCTGCGACCCCTCCCGTGATGCCTCTGTTACCCTCGCCTCCCTCCGCCAAAGACGGTCGCTCCTCCCACTCCGGCTCCAAGACCATTCCCCACCCTCCCAAGCCCAGTCCAGCTCCTGCCCCGACACCAGCAGCTGTCCCTGTGAGTACAGGTTCTGTCTCTCCTGTGCATGCAGCACCTAAAAAAAAAAGCTTCTGTATTTATTATTTTTTTAGATAACCTCACCAACATACAGTTACGATGATTTCAAACTGGCTTGCTCAGTGTGTTTTTCAAAAGAACAAGACTAGAAGGAGTGTGCAGGTGAGTGGATTTAGAGTTTTGGTTTAGTTAGATTAGTTCTTGGCTGTGCTGATGTCCTCCTACTGCTCTGGACCGAAGCGTTAAAGTTGGTTTTGTGTCTTTTTTTTTTTTTTACAGTGGGTGGTGTTGCCAGCGGATAAAGCCAAATTTGACGAACTGTTCAGCAAGACAGATGGAGACATGGACGGCTTAGTGTCTGGTGCAGAAGTCAGAGACATATTCCTCAAGACTGGACTTCCTTCTGCTACACTCGCACGGATTTGGTAAGAAAGGAGGCCAGATCATCAGTTCACAGTTGTGCTCTGGAAACGTTCGGTTCATTGATTCATGGAGTTTTAAATGTTGTTGTAAAGCAGTGTGGGGTTTTCTAATTAGTACATCTGCAATCCAAGTTGTTTTTAAAATAGGAATTGGACAAAAACATACAGACTATGTATGTGGTTAAAAGTAAGGACAGCTATTTTAAACTGTGACAGAATGTGGGTAAAATCCTTCTTTTTAATTTTTTTCAATAATGTTGATTTTTAGAGGTGTTGCTTTAATAAATCAGTGTTTATACAAAACATAGAAATTAGGGCAGTCATTCTTCTAATAACGATACTTAAACCGACTTCTTTTTTTTTTAAACCTGTAGTGTTTTTGCACACTACAGGGTGATTATATATTCTTTATTTCGAACAAATAAAATAATACAAGAATATACAGTATATGCAAATAAACACAAACATACAAAAGAATACGAAAACAGTTTTGAAAGCTTAAGATACATCAGTGATGTTCAGAGGAGTGAGGAGAAGTTTACACTTTTTTAATTCCCTCCCCTTTATACTATTTATCATTCATCAGTATACTTTTATTTTAACATACACATTACAGTATATATTACTTTAATAGTATATAATACATCCATAGCCTTGTCAAACTTATACTGCAGCCGATCTTACGTACAAAAATTTATCTTAAATTTATCTGAGTCATCTAATGATTTCACAAATATTTTACTATTTACGCATATCCTTTCTCTTCCATATAACTATTTAGAAATATTTCTGAATACATTTATATATAATTTAAAGGATGACAATATGTTTTACATCAACACTAAAATGGCACGTTATGGATTTTTATGCTCACGTGGCTGATGAGCATCTGTCATGCAGTGAGTAGGGTTTATCGGACATGGCGGTCAGTCGGGTTGATCAAAAGCAGTGGTTGCCTGAGGTGTAAATCGTTGGCCTCTTATGTAACCTTGTGTTTCTGGTTTTCAGGGAGCTTTGTGACATTGGAGACATAGGGAAGCTGACCCGGGAACAGTTTGCCCTGGCGCTGTATCTCATCAATCTTAAGCTGACAAAAGGCCTGGACCCACCGCAGAGTCTCTCCCCCGAAATGATCCCTCCTTCAGACAGACAAAACATCAAACATGTGAGACACTGAGGAACTGATGTGTTCAAGAACGTTACGTAGAGAGGTTGTTTCAACAAAGTTTGATCGTATTCATTAGAAAAAAAACAGCATCAGAAGATATCTTTTTCTTTAATCTAAAACGTGTTTAGGTTTGCAGCTGGTTGTGTTTTTCATTTCCTCTCTGTTTTGCTTCCTTTTTTTTGTTTCTGTGTACATTTTTTGCATTTTCGTCACTTTGTGTGCAATACGGTAATTCAGAAAGAGAATTTTTGTTGCATCTCATTACTCTAGATAAGTTTCCATTCTTGCGATTTCTTTTTTATTTCAAAACTTTATTCATTTCTTTAAAAATAACAAAATTTATATTCAATAAAAATACAGATCATAAATAAAGTGAAAGGCGGCAGAAAGAAAAAAAATCTTATAGTATCTGCACCTTTTTTCTTGTCAAAATAAATTTTTAAACAATAATAATCTACAAACAAAAACAACCTCAAATCCTTGTTGAACAACATTTCGTATGAATACACATTATTTTGTTTCATATTTCTTTAACAAAGTGACTTTTATCATTCTCTTAAATATAAACATTGATCTGACATTTTTGACATCACTGTCCAGATTGTTCTAAAGACTTATTCCTCGTATGGAAGTACATTGCTCCCTCAAACTAGTTTGAGATCCAGGTTTCACCAACATCTCTACCCCTTTCAGATTATAACAACTTTCTCTCTTAACAAAATTCAATTGGTTGTTTAAAGGTAATATACATTTGTGAGCCTTATACATAACCTGTAAAATATTATAATCAACCAACTAGGGATGGGCACCGAATTCGATACTTTTTGATGTAAAGACCGAATTCTGTCGGTACTACCGAGTATCTATTCATGTAACATCAAACGGTACCATGTTTCGGTAACGCATCATTGCGACTGGTTTGGCGTAAGGTTGGTGAGATTTCCATGCTTGTCCTGAACGCAGCATCACGCAAAAGTGTAATGACATCAGCAGCCAGTTCAGTAAACCGAGGCAGAGCTCGGTTTGAACGTAGCATGAAAGCCTCGCAGCTCCTGGAGCTCAAAGTAAATAAAGTACCGCCACTTTCTTCATTTCATCCACCATTAAACAGAGACCGGCAGAGGAAAACAACAGAGGTGCTTCCTGACAGTCCGAACACGTCTGACCTGAAGGAGCACAAGCAGCTAACTTGAAGTGTTGGATGCGTTTTTGGATGCTCAAAATATAGCTTGAATACCTTTTATTTATTTTAACTGCATCCTCTTTTGCTTATTTGATTTAAACTTATTTGCCTTCCATGGACCTCCATCACACAATTTTCTAGTGGGGAAATGACATCAATAGAAACACATGGAGCTGGATTTTAATTTGTGCAATAAGACTAAACAGTCTTGTTTTCAAGAATTTTCACTTTAAAGAACCAAGTTACACAACTGATGTTACAATACAAAGTGTTGGATGTTGTCTTGATATTTGTTAATTTTATATATTGAGAAATATATTAAATAAAACAATAAAAGTTTATTATTGAAAAAACAACACACGCAAAGTACCGAAAATTGGTACCGTTAAGTACCGGTACCGATTCCCAGGTACCGGATATTGGTACCGAATCGATTCAAACGTCAAAGGTACCCATCCCCACAACCAACTCATAGAACTTCAATAATTTCAACTGATAAAATAATATATTTGATGGGTGACTGTAGTGTTTACTAACAATAATTCTTACAGTTCTTTTCTGTAAAACAAAAATAGGGTTTATAATTGTTTTGCATGCTTTCCCCCAGACTTTTTAAAAAATAATTTCATTAATGTGACAGCTCTACGCTTCCGTAGAGGCATCAGTGCTAACCGCTGAGTCATCGTGCTTCCTCATGGTCTGCAGCCCCTGAATTGAGACACAGCCAGTGTGTGACGGATGTCCGCCAAGTATCAGTCTCAAAACAAACTGAATTAACTTCCTCCAGCAATCCTCTTTGTGGTTAGCTGTCATCACCAGTATTCCCTCTGTAATAATTCTGTTTGTTGATGTTTAATCCTGTGAGCCGGGCGGTCGCTCACTAATGTCACCAGTTCTCTCTGACTTCCCCTTGCCGCCTCGGCGTGTCTTCTCATTGATCCGAGGGGGCAGAACGTGTCAGTCCTGGACTGAGCTGACTTGTGAATGAGGCTTTTTGAAGAAAGCTGACAGCTGAAAAATTTCCGTGATGTACCAATAACACCAAGTTTAATTTTCTTTGTTTTGGAGAATGTTTAATTTATTTGAAGTTATTCATACAGAGAAGCTGTAATATTAACTTTCCCAAACGTTAAAGATAAACGTGATCTCAAGCTGTAGATCAAGTCGAACCAAAATTGCTGAACAGGGTTGGGAAAACACCACTTACCAGTCTCCTCCCAGCCTGACTTGTTCTTAAACCATTGTTCTCCACCCATGTGGTAACCACATCACCGTGTTGTTTCTGTGTATGTTTTTATGTTTCATTAAATCGTTCCCTCCCTTATACTTTTGATCTTTACTGTCATTATGTAACTGTCCTCATGTCCTCTGCAGAACAATGCTGCTAACCTGGCGGCCGACTTCTCTGCTATTAAGGAGCTGGACACTCTGAGTAATGAGATTGTTGAACTGCAAAGGTAATCAGTTATCCTTTTTAATGTGAGTTTAAAGTGAACTTCATATACTGATGAAGTGGTATAAATTAATGTTATTCACCTTGTGATGATGAGAAGTGCAGGTTTGCAATGATTGTAAGGTGACTTATTGTTTTAGCTTGTTGTAGTATGTAGCTGTTTTACTAAAAGATGGAAATTAGCATTTAATATACATCATAATTTATAAACTTCCATAATGATTTACAAAAAACCCCCAAAAAAAACAACCTTTCAGCAACAACTGGAATGGTTAATGTTTGTGTTTCATTTGTATTTGCATGTGATGCACTTTGAACACACAGTCTTGGTTTCACTTGTTCTCAGCATCTCTTACTGATTCACTCTGTTCAGCCAAACAGAATGAAGGTTCCTTTATAAATGAAAGTGAGAAGTGAGAGTTTTTTTTTTGTTTTGTTTTTTACACACACGCACACACTGAGAAGCACATCAACATGTGGCAGCTGTTCTTTGGAAGAAACAGAGAAATGAAAACTTGGTTTGAATTTAGCTTTAAACCAACATCAAATCATAATTAGAACAACAACAAAAAAAAGATGGACGTCTGCGGCTGCTTCACGTTTTGGCAGCAGCATTTTCCTCAAAATAAGGATGGCAGTGACTGTGATTATGGGTAAGATCAGACTGTAGACTTTCTTCTAAACGATTGTCAGATAAATTTTAAGTTTTGACATGAAGTAAGTGAATCTAAAAATAGTGGCTGAGTTTGAAACTTTTTATTTCCAGCCAGCATTGATATGGACACCAAAGGATATGTGGGATGGTTTGATTTATTTTTAAAGAAGCATCTGAAAGTTGAACTGAAATGAACACTTTATCTTTACAATATTGTTATTATAAATGAAAACCAAGTGTATACATTTAGAAATTCAGTTATATTTTCTTACAACATGCCAAACTTAGGCTTATGTTTATGTGCCTTAAGAGGAAAAAAATAAAAGGTGTGATTTCACAAACTGATAAGATTATTTAGTAGAATAACATTTACTGTAACTAAAGTTTAGATTTGTAGCCAAGCCCAACCTGATAAAATTAAATGCTTGATGGTTGGTCTGACTCCTGTGGCGCATTTTTATTAAGCCTACAATACAAACAGCACAGAGAGAACCAGACGAGAATCCACGATCTGTAGTTGTGTTGATCTACTTATTATAGTCTGAATAGAGGAGTTTCACCCTGTGAGGAAAGAAAGAAAATAGGCCTAAGTGAGGTGCAGAAGTTAAGCGTAACGCACATCGTGGCCCCACCCTGCTCCTATCTGATGTTTTTTAAAAACTTTGGTGGTCTAAAAACAAAAGCACTGAAAGCTAACGGTATTTATGCAAGAATAAAAAAATTAAACCCCAAAATCATCATAAAGTTGGGAAGTCGCAGCCTGTTACAGGACAATAAATTTTGACTGATCTTTTTTGTTTTCTTCTTCTACCACAATAAATTTAAATATTTTCTTCTATAGGCCTGTAACTGAAATATTGTGTCGCAGAAAAAAATCATCTTAATTTGCCATGCTTTACGTCATGCAGTTCAGCAGATAAACACAACGGCAGGTGTTTTTTCACACCGGAAGCTTTTCTTTTTCTTTTTTTCCTTAACCACGGTGCAGAGATGAAGACATGGATGTAAGGCGCATGTCCAAGAGCAGCTCTTTGATGCTGCCCATCTTGCTAATTTAACAACCAGCTCCTGCTGTTGGATTGTTTTCAGCGTCATGAAGCTCGCTCTGCAGCCTTTGGTCCATATCTACACACCCACAGGTGTGTGTCACTGCAAGGGTTGAAGAATGCTGAAATCTGTTTGAAATTAGGAACAGCATTTTATAGGAAGATTAAAATTAAGATTGTTTTTAGGCATTTTAACCTCAAAAACTGGGGGTGGCATTAATCCTCCATAAATTCAGTTATTAAAATTTGTCTGGTTTACTTTTGGTTCGGGCTTTAATTGGACTTAATCAGTTGGGTTGGATCGGGATCGGACGCAGTGTCTTTTGGCTCGAGCCGGTTTGTGGTGGATTTTTTAGGCTCGATCTGACTTCACAAGTTTAGAGTGTTTTCCTATTTTAAGCATTTGGAGAGATTTTTCCAAATGTTCCCTTTTTAAATTTTGTTTTCCTTTTTATTGTGCCAGTTTCTGCTGCTTTTGAGAATACAAGCTCATATAAGCAAAGTTAGTGCAAAATGAGTGTTTTAAATGTTCTTCACTGAAAATTCAGTCTTTCTGATTGAAATACTAAAAGAAAATCAGAAAAGGACTGCCCAAATCAGCAATGTTTTCATTTGGCTCGTCGTGACTCATCTCCTCTCTCTCCCTTCTTTTCCCATCTCTGTGCAACCATCTGCCTCTCTCTCACCTCGTATCCCACACATTTTTTTTCTGCACAAGCACGCACTCACTGTACATCCTGGAAGTCTCACTTACTAAATCTTTACATTGCATCACGCGACGTTTTATTCAGACTCTCGTACCTTGAAGTTGTGGTTTCAGAGCAGGATCATGGTAGTTGAGGGGAACGAGTTGATGGTGTTTGAGGGACAGGGGGAAGCATCCTCAGCAGACACCTGGCTGTGGCTGGGTGGGGTTGGATTGCCAGGTCTCACTAGCCTGTCCTCGGCTGCTAACTACTTCTGTCTTTTGTGCTGGACCCCCAGAGAGAAAAGCTCTGTGGAAGAGGAGATCAAGGAAAAAGAAGAGGCCATTCGACAGCGCAGCACTGAAGTGCAGGTAAGGTTACATCGTCTGTCTAGATAAAATAGGTCTCAGGTTTTTTTGTATTTGTTTTCTCTTGTCTGTTTTATTATAAAAGCACATCTTTATCCTTTAAAAAAATCAGGCCAGCAGTAACCATATTTACTAAAGCTGTTTTAAAGTAATGGAAATTATTGAATACTATCATAGCAGTTCATCCACAGTCTGTTGTTTTACAGAAGTGCAGTTAATGTTGTTCAGACAGGACGAAGCTCGTTTCCTCTTGTAGGTGTGTCTGCCTCCCCAGAGCCTGAGCGATCAGCTCTATTTTGGGAGCGCAGTGCTTAAAGGGCTAGTCAGCTCTGCTTCTGGGGTTTCAGTTTTGATGTCTCTGTGTGAAGGTGGATCTCACAGGAGAATGATGCTCATGCAGTCAGATCCTTCTGTCTTTTTTTTCTGTTCATTCTTGGGCGTTTTGAATAATTTTTAGTTATTTTCAGTCAAGTCTTCACGTACTCAAGCATAAAACTGACACTTCACCTTCTGTAATCATCCCTGTGAGCCGGTGGAGGGGCAGGACAGAGATATCTTCCTCTCAAAACTGCTCTGCTCTTAGCTTTAATCACAGCTAAGAGATTTGCATGCTTTATTTATCAGTGCTTCCTGTTTGCAGAGGGCACCTGGGCTCTAGGTGTGTCTGAGGCCCAGTCCAGATTTTGTGCTTAAGGTGATGGATTCTTTGTACAGATGTTCTTATGTGGAGCTGCTAGCTTTGCACCCACCTCCTTTCTCCTTGGAGAAGGAGCAGAGCTATAACAGGACAGCCAGCTTCAGGAACTCAGACCAGCTGTTTGTTTCATGAGCCACAGCTCATACAGGCAAACCAGAGGCTCACACATTGGACCCTTAGGTGTTATGGATGGAGCCCCCATTGTGTGAAAGCTACCAGGAGCATGGCCACATCACTGGACCTGTTTAGCAGAGTATTTGCCCAGGATTTCTGTTCTGCTGCTGGTTGGGGCCCCACTTCACACATTTATGCTCTTATACAGCCATCTCTTGGTTACTGCATGTTAGGAACCTCTGAGCCACTGTCTGGCTTCTGGGGTCAGATTTATAAAGGATTGCGTGGAAACCATACTAAAAGTGAACGTACGCGAAAAAAAATTCAGATTTATAAAACCGTGCGTACGCATGTTTCTGCGCATCTTTCTTTTATAAATCACAGCTGCACGTCAGAGTTTGCGCACGAGGTCCTGCCTCAGGTTGTATCCTCTACACGCCCACACTCAACCATAAACAGTCAATGTAAAGTACCTCATGAATGTTAAGATGTATTGAAATCAGTCAGATGATCAATGTCAACAAAAGTGATTGGTTCAGACACGCTCCGTCGTGCATCTGGAGGTTGACAGGTGCTGACTGACAGCTGCTCACGTGAACATAATGTCTGTAATTGACACAGATTTTCCCTCATTTTGCTTTAGAGTAATCTAACGATTTTTATTTAAAAAAAAACTCCGCTTGAAATTAATTTTCCCTCAGAGCCTGCAGGAAGATAAAAGCAATAAAAATAAAATTAAATGTCAGATAAAATTAGAAATAAGTCCACC